GCCTTATGACATTAAATATGATAATAAATGAATAGAAAATGGTCTAGAAATATTCTTCATTAAAAGTTATACTCTGTATCATAATTACATTTCTTGAATCATTTCTGTTGGCTACAAGGTATAAGAACCTGATGATAAAAGAACACTAGCATAGTATACTACCTTTCATTTATATATTTTATCTTTTGTGAATCATTTGCCTATGAAGATGGCTCTTTTGATAATATGCTCTGGATGAGTTAAGGTGAACTAACTTGTATTTTGTTACACAAAACTCAGAGGAATATATATGTGTGTGTGTGTGTGTGTGTGTGTGTGTGTGTGTGTATAAAATTAAGAGGTTAAGACTGTTAATCCACTCATTCAATAATTATTTATTGCTCTGTTTTTGTACTAGGTTCTAGTATAGTAATGTATATCATGAAAATAGAATCATATTCAGAAAATGACTTTTTTAAAAAATTTACTTTAAATTCTGGGATACATGTGCAGAATGTACAGGTTTGTTACATAGGTACACATGTGCCATGGTGGTTTGCTGTACTTATCAATCCATCACCTAGGTTTTAAGCCCTGAATGTGTTAGGTATTTGTCTTAATGCTCCCCCTCCCCTTGCCCGCCAACTCCCCGACAGGCCCTAGTGTACGATGTTCCCCTCCATGTGTTCTCATTGTTCATCTCCCACTTATGAGTGAGAACATATGGTGTTTGGTTTTCTGTTCCTGTGTTCGTTTGCTGAGAATGATGGCTTCCAGCTTCATCCATATCCTTGCAAAGAACATAAGCACATCCTTTTTTATAGCTATAGAGTAAGAAAATGACTTTTTAAAACATTAAATGACAGGGGGCTGGACATGGTGGCTGTGACACCTGTAATCCCAGCACTTTGAAAGGACGAGGCGGGCAGATCACCTGAGTTAAGGAGTTTGAGACCAGCCTGGCCAACACGGTGAAATCAAGTCTCTACTAAAAATACAAAAATTAGTTAGAGGTGGTGGTGGGTGCCTATAATCCCGGCTACTCTGGAGGCTGAGGCAGGAGAATCACTTGAACCCAAGAGGCAAAGGTTGCAGTGAGCCAAGATCACACCATTGTACTCCAGCCTGTGCAACAGAGTGAGAGTCCATCTCAATAAAACAAACACAAAACTCTTAAAACATTAAATGACTGAAGGTAGGCTATTTTGGCCATAATATGTTAATTCTTCTGAACAGTGTCAAGTAGTAATTCTTTTTTCCTTTTAATAAAGATACATGTGTCAACAAGAAAGGTATCTCTTGAGAGTCTCAGGAGTAACACTGTGGAGAATTCAAGGAAGATCCAGTATTATGGATATTGTGTTGTCTGTTCAATAGCCAAGTTTATGAACTTTCTCTCTAGGACTGAGTTTCCCAGCTGGTGTGCACAATACCTAAGGTGTCCTGCGTGTCTGGTTTACATACATGCCAAGATTGATTTCCCTCAACTTTCAGGGGGCTGCCTGGGACCCAGACAGCTAAAGCCTCAGGCAGGTGAAGGCAGCTCTTCTTTTTTTTTCTTTTTTTGAGACGGAGTCTCATTCTGTTGCCCAGGCTAGAGTGCAGTGGCATGATCTCAGCTCACTGCAACCTCTGTCTCCTGGGTTCAAGCGATTCTCCTGCCTCAGCCTCCCAAGTAGCTGAGACTACAGGCGTGGACTGCCACGCCTGGCTAATTTTTTATATTTTTAGTAGAGACACATTTTCACCATATTGGCCAGGCTGGTCTTGAATTCCTGACCTCGTGATCTGGCCACCTTAGCTTCCAAAAGTGCTGGGATTACAGGCATGAGCCACTGCGCTTGGCCCAGCCTCTTCTATTTACCCTGGTGAGTGCTTAAGTATCATCCCTTACCATGGAAGGTACTGGGCACCATGTTGTGTGACTGGACTTTTTTTTTTTTTTTTTTTGAGCCAGAGTCTTGCTCCGTCGCCAGGCTGGAGTGCAGTGGCACATCTCAGCTCACTGCAACCTCTGCCTCCCGGGTTTAAGTGATTTTCCTGCCTCAACCTCCCAAGTAGCTGGGACTACAGGTACCCGACACCATGCCCAGCTAATTTTTGTATTTTTAGTAGAGACAGAGTTTCATCATGTTGGCCAGGATGGTCTTGATCTCTTGACCTTGTGATCTGCCCATCTTGGATTAACTCTCAGTCTTCTATCTTTGCTTCTCATTGTCTGCCCCCCCACTTTCCAACCCCATAGTTTTCTGAACAAATTCTCATTTCCATTGGACTGGCTTCTTTTTCCAGTCAGCCTAGGATTTGCTGGTCTTGAGTCTGAGGTCAGTCAGTGGCTTTTGGTTGGCAGCTCAGATTCCCTGTAAGGTAAAACCAGCAATCTACTGAATAAACCTGGCATTAAGCTGAGAAAAAGAATGAATAAAGCTAACACCATCCATCTTCTCGTTTTGACTTACCAACTGATGAAAGGCAAGGACTACATAGTGGGACCTTTACTTTATGTACGACTTTTTTCCCTGTCAGTGTACCATGTAGTACATTTTATACAGTTTCTTCGCAGAGATGTCTAAGGCAAAATTGGTAAAGAAAGTTTGAAAGATGGATTACATATATTTATTTCTTAAAAAATGAAAAAACACATGAATAATACACTTACCCTGATAGGCAAAGCAATCTGTGTGAAGATAAGAGCTGGTGTGGTTTGTAGGAAAGTCACTGAACTAGGCTGATAGCATCTTGGCTTTCTTTCCAGCTCTGCTACCTTTACACTATGCGACCTCAGGCCAGGTGTTTTACCTCCTGCACTTTAGTTTTCCCATCTCAAAAAAAACATAATACTTACCATACCAAACCCAAAGGGATGTTGTGAAAATGATATCAAAGCGATTGGAAGGCTTGAAAATGCTAGGATGTTTGTATGATATGAAAGAATGATCATGGATCTAAGATAAAAGAGTTCAGGCACTTTGAGATTAGTAAGAAATTTGGGTCAAATGCTGAAGTAGGGCTCCTACCACTACTGTGGTTTTCTTTTAAAAGTTTAACTACAATACAGAATTATCGTCCATTCTATATTATTTCATATATTGAGAAGTATTAAAATTTGGCTTTACAGTGATCATATTTGTTCTTAAATGTAAGACTTATTTAAAATTTCTTTTATATAATCTAAATAAGATACGGGGACCAATATCTTTTTTCTCAGCAGAGATCTGACCATATTAATCACACAAATTTTTATTTATGAGAAGTACCTGTACCACAACACTTTGGAATTATATATATATATGTATGTATATACTCATATGTATATAAATATTCCATTTTATGAATCATGCCAATGTCTTTTATATGATCCACAATTATATAAATACAAATACAATTGTCTAAGCATAATTCATAAAACTAATAATTTTCTTTAGCTGGGTCTCAGATGCTAAGACCATACATTTAAACAGATATAATTACTATTTTTAATTGGTAATTGTAACACGAAGATCTGAATCTTTAGCTACCATAAAAGTGAGATCCTATATGCTATTTTCTTTCATTTCTTTTCCCCCCCTAATTCACAGAAAAAAATTAGATATTTTTATCTTACCATGCTTGGGAGCAAATTCAAAACAGTGTATATTGTTCATCCTCACTCAGACAGCACAGACCAAGTAAAATGTCATCCATCTCATTAACAAGTATATTTTCCTTTTTTGTTTTAATTGCAATTTCTGTGTATACTTCTTATTAATACAACTAGAAAACCATTAATTATGATTTCATTTATTCAGTTTGATGCCCAAATATTTAAGAGCATGGTGTCTCTAGTGGACAGAATAAAAGGAATACTTGGTTGTAATAAATTTAGAACAAAGCCATTAAATAAAATTTATTTCTGTCTTACTGTTGTAAGTTATGTCTTACTATTATAGGATTAAGTTCTTTTTGATGGCATTAAAAAATAGACTTAGATTTCTGCAAGGTCATTCTTGTTATGGGGCTTACTTGGCTCCTGAGGAAGTATCAGTTGGTATTGTGGGTTTGCAAAGGCTCAGTTAGCATTTCTTGTGCACTGAATATTTAATCTATCTCTGTTTTAAACATAAGCTGAGACCCTGAGGCATCCCTCAGGCTATTAGAGACAGACTTAATGGGTGACCCACTAGGAAAGTTGGTGTTTAAACAGAAAGAGAAAACCATCATTTGTTACTGTGGGCAGAGAGTGACTGAAAGAAGAGATTTCTAAAAATAAATTTTACAAGTACTCAAATAGTACTTACCATGTACCAGCCTCTCCCATGCTCTTTACAGGCATTCATTCATTTAATCCTCGAAATAATGGCTGCACCTACTAGGCTTGTTTTCTGGTACAACAGATGAAGTCTACTCCTGAGGAGAGCTTATCAGTCTTAACAAGTACCATGGGGGCACTTGATGAACAAGATAAATCAAGAGATAGGGTTAAAATCAGGAGAGATACGGATAGCAGTCATTTACGCCAGCTAGGTTCAGCTGTACAGTCTTCAGATTTCTTAAAAAAAGACGAATAATCAAATTCTATAATGTTAACACTTCTCTCTCAGTTTTATAGTAACCTTTCCTTTGAAAAAGCCAACCTTGGCCACGTGCAGTGGCTCACGCCTGTAATCCCAGCACTCTGGGAGGCCAAGGCAGGTGGATTGAGACTATCCTGGCTAATATGGTGAAACGCTGTTTGTACTAAAGTACATAATTAGCTGGGCGTGGTGGCACGTGCCTGTAGTTCCAGCTACTTGGAAGGCTGAGGCAGAAGTATAGCTTGAACCTGGGAGGCAGAGGTTGCAGTGAGCTGAGATTACGACACTGTACTCCAGCCTAGTGACTGAGCGAGACTGCGTCTCAAAAAAAGAAATAAAAGAAACTAAGAAAAAGTCAACCTTGCCTGAGAAGAACCGTCTACCACTAGGTCAGCAAAGATACGGAACTCTCTTTTGACTAGTGGTATGGTAGCATTAGATTATAAACAACCAGTTGAACTGATGCAGATAAAAAGAAATGAAGCGTCAGTGAGACTGGAGAGAGGAATACCACAATTTTTGCTTCCTCAGCATTCATGGACTTATGTGGCTAGCATAGGTTTTGTTTTTCTTTATTTTACAAGTGAGTTTCCTGTTATTTAATGTTGTTCCACTTTGCATTTCGAATTTCCCTTAAGCATCTAAAAATGTTATAGTGTCATTACCTTTTGCATTAAATATTAAATTAGCCAGAGAAGTTGAGGAACTTGTAAGTACTCCAACAAACAAAATATTAAACAATGAATTTGAACTTGGTGATTCCACCTAGTGAACTAATGGGATATAAGAGAATCTCTTACCAGACACCATGCTTAGCATTACACACAGTTACCCATTGAATCTCACAGCCTTGCTAGGGGGTATTATATCTACTGTTTGAGGGTGGAGAAAACAGGCTCACACAAAGTACTAGCTTCCACAGGTCTCACAGCTAATATTAATGAAAGGCTTGGGTTTACGAAGTAGGTGTTTCAGGCTCCACATTGCACTATCTCAAAGACGATCTAGGGCATGGACATCCTGATAAAAACGGGCCAAATTTATTGGCTATCAACGACAGTTCCATCTGGAAATACTGAACAAATAATGGCAGTAGGGCATCCCGCCACTTCCTGATTAGTTGAAAAGGAAACACCTGCGCACACACGTTTGACCAATGTGATACAGCTAAGGACCTGGAAAAATTCAGCAAGCAGTAAGAAACATTTGAACAAAGGGTAGACCACGGCCTAGGAGGTGGATGAAGCCACCCTACCGAAGCTAGATGGGGCTGAGGCCCTCAAGGGCCTAACCGGCTGCCCAGAAGTCTTCTCAGCCCCGCCTAAATACAGCGAGGACGACCCAGGATTCACCTTCAACAGTGAAGGCAAGTCCGAGTATAAGAGATGCACATAGGCCCGGGCCACATCCTGACACTGTTTCTTACAAGAAGGTGGAGGGGGATTCGGGGGGATGCATTAATCCAGGTCGGAAATACACCTTGTTCGCCGAGGGAGGATTTTGGAAGGAAATACCAACGAAGTCCTCTTTTGGAGATGCCCATTCCCTTTCGGGTACATCAACCTTCATTATGTACCCGCAGGGCAGAATGTATGCGAGGCTTGCAAGGCGTCCCTCAGCCTCCACCCGCGCGGCCACTGCGGGGTCCCCGGGCGGGCGGGGGCTGCGGTGACGCAGGAGGCGGCTGGGCCCCGGTGCGGCCGGCGCGGGGAGGGTGCTGCTTGGCGCCGGCCTATCAGGACGCACGGTGTTTCGGGCGCGGGGAGGGCGGGGGCCTCCAGATTTCCTCGGCCCGGCGCAGCGCCGCCTGCTGAGTTCCCAGCGAGCGCGCGGAGCCCGCGGGGGTCTCCGGACGCGCCTGCCGGTCCCGGTTTTCCTCCGCGGCTCCCCTGCCCTTTCACGTCCGCCTCTTTCTCCAACTAGACGCGGCTCCGACGGCGCTCGGCCTCCTGTTCTTCGGGCTCCCTGGCTCTGTCCGCAGCGCGCGTCGCCCGGTCGCTCATCGCCTTGTGTCCTCGGGCCCGGCGCGGGCGCCTCACCCCGGGCGGTCGGCGGTAATGCCGCTGCCGCCCTTGCGGCCGGGCAGGCAGCTGGCGGCGGCCGCAGTCGGAGCGCGTTCGCCGCTGGCCGGGACGCCGCCCTGGCCTGCGCTCAGCTCCCGCGGCGGCCGTGGGGCGCCGGGGCCCGGCGCGGCATGAGGAGGAGGCGGCTCAGTGCAGGCGAGCGCCCGGCTCCTCGGCCCCCAGGGCCCCCGCGGGCCCCCTCGCGTCGCGCGCGCCGGTTGCGGCCCCGGCGCCCACGCTAGCCCCGCGCAGGCACGAGACGCCGCGGCCCGGAGCAGGAGGCGGCGCAGGCCTGCGGAGAGGACGCGGGCGGTCGGGACCCTGAGCGCGGGGCTTCGCGGCTGGACCCCACCGGGCACGGGCAGCGGAGCCGGGCGTGCTGCAGTTCTCTGCCCCTCTCCGCAGGGGCGCCGCGGCGCGCAGCCTGCGCCTCTCCGCACCTGCAGCCCCTCCTCCCGCCGCTGCCTGGCGGAGAAAACGCGCCTCCTTGCCCTTCCCAGGCCTCCTCGGATCCCCCCGTCCCTTCTCCCTTCTCCGCCTCCGCGCCTCCCCTCCCCCGACTCTCGGGCTTCCCATTCATTCCATCCGCTCCTTCCCATTGCCTCCTTTCCGCTCGGTCCCTGTCCCCAGAGCCTCCCCGCGTGGACCCCGCTGCAGTGTCGGGGTTCTCAGCACATTTATGGAAGTTTAGGGCCTTGACAGTGGCCCCGAGTCCGGCCTAAGAGCGCAGCTTGGGCTGCTTGCCGGGAAGAGGAAGATGTCTGTGCTCAGGCGGATGATGCGGGTGTCCAATCGCTCCCTCCTCGCCTTCATCTTCTTCTTCTCCCTCTCTTCGTCCTGTCTGTACTTCATCTATGTGGCCCCGGGCATCGGTAAGCACCGAGACACACCCTCGCTTATCCTGGTCACATCACAGGCAGCGCAGGCTGTTAAGGATGTTACTTCTGGGATTTGGAAGCTGTTTAAACAAGGGGCCGCAAAAAGCGTTTAGTTTGAAATGTTATTTCAGACGTGTCAAACTGCTTCAGAGCATGGCTTTGCTATGTGAGTTTTGTTAATGCATGCATTTGGTCAATGTATGTTTGTTAATAACTTAAAAGATTGCATTAAGTAGACATAGCAAAAATTAGTGTGATGGCCTGGGATGCCCTAGTGGCTTTCTTGAGTGTTCATAACAGCTTTATCCATTTAATGTTAAGTCTTTAAGCCTAAACTCAGTGCTTAATTGTAGTTTTATTCAAACACCCTCGGGTATAGGAATTGGTTGTAAAAATATGGAGGAGCCAACAGCAGGGAATCTGATTGAGTCCCAACAGTGTATGTAGTCTAGGGTCTTGTGTCGCTTTTTTAGAATGGGGTCAGTGGACATTTGTGCCATACTTCTGGAATTTTAAGGCAATGAGTTGTCTTGTAAAAACAATGCCTCATTATTTTAGTTGCTTGGGTCTGATTTTCAAGGGTAGGTTGCCTTTGCTACCTGTTAGGATGACTTCTGAGAAAATAGTGATTGAAATAACCATTATTAAGGGACTTGTAAATTAAACTGTTAACCTGTTGTATCATTTTTTGGCCTTTGGTGCAAAACACACTTTTGTAAAAATCTACTTGAATTAACTTCTTTATTGAATATACGAATTCCTCTTCCCCCTTTTGCTGAAAAGGAGCCAATGCGGCGTTAATTCTAGGGAATGAGAAATAGGAACCTCACATGAATATTAAAATACGTCATATTTCCAAAACATTTTCTGAGTGTTTTCTGGCTACTATGTATTTAATGTTCAATTACTTAGTAACAGTGAGCATCTTCTCTCATTTCTCCTTACACACGAATAGTCGTTTGAACCAGTGCTGTCTGTGCCGAGTTAGCTACAAATGTAATGCCCCTTACAGAGTGAAAACGTTTGCAGAATTGTGAGATAGAATTATCAGGGCATTGTCTTGAGTGTAGTAGATTATTGTAATGAATTGCAGCAGGAAGGGAAGATGGAAACCTCATGCAGACTGCTTCATTTCTTAAAATTACTATGAGACTTTTTCTTTAATAAATTTTTGGGTCAGTGAGATGTATAAACCAGGTGATGATGTTTGAGAAGAAATGGATTGTTGAAACGTTGATGTGTCCTAAAATAGAGGTTGTAGGCTAAAGTTTGAAGAATATTTTAACATTATTGCAGTTTTCCTTTAGGCCAGAAATAAACAAAACAAAACCTCATATAAAAAACCTACTCCTTGAAGCCTGTAGTACTAATGACAATGATAGCTTAGTGGATTTGATATTATCTAAGATATTCAACAAGGGCTTTATTTTTTGCCATTTTGGAGTCTTATACATTAACTAGTCATTCTGTAGCATTGTTTTACTTTCTCTAGTAACTCTTCAAAAGTTGGACGTCTTTGGGATATGTTATTAAGAATTTAACTTTGAAAGATTTTGGTGAAAAAGATTTTTTTTTCACACTTAGATAACAATTTTCCCACATTCTTAGTATTATGAGTAACATGTTGAAGTTATGTTACTCAAAAAGCTAACCAAAGGAAATCAAAATTCTAGTCATCCTTTTTTTTTTTTGAAGTTAGTGTGTCAGTATATTATTTGTAGATTCTTAATTCAATTTGTGTGAAAATACTGATAGATTTTTCTTCAAATGCTTAATGTTTGCCATAGAACAGTCACTGATACAATGTAAAAATTTTGGTAAATGTCTTTTAGGCAATTAGATTGACATGGCTTAACCTACTCTGTTTTTGTAGGTAATATAAGTGATAATAAAAGAAGTTATTAAAGCCAGTTAGAAGAGTGCAAACCAAAAACTTACGCTGTGAACTTGTCAAGCTGAATCTATTTCCCAAACCCTGTACCATTTAGCCAAAAACAAAAAAACAAAAACCCTCTTTTTAAAATCTTTTGTATCTTTAAGTATTGGGAAGCAGTTTTCCAAAATTCAAATTTTTGCTTGAAAGTTTGAATTTTATCGTTGGCAGCAAATACAGTCAGTTTTTCTTGATGTGTCAGGCTCACTTTGCTCATTTTGGAGAAAATGTAGGTCAGGTACACAAGTTTAAATAACCATAGTTTTTCAGTTGTTCTTTCAAGTAAAGATGATGTTCCATGAAAAATGTGGCTTGTTGAGTTCCTGCTGCAGCAATCAGTTGCACAAGTGCTTTGGTATGCAGCAGAAATGTTTTATGCGTACTTCCGATTTCGTCACAGATTTCTTATTTATGAGGCATATCCAAAAGTCATTAGGTTCTTAGAACTAGTTTTTATTCAATGTACATAGATTTTTCTTGAAATAATAATTTCAAGAAAGTAATTCATATGTTAGCCTGAATTACATATTGGAGCAAAATGTGTTTATGACTAAAATGTATGTTGTATGAGTACTTTTTATGTGCCCTAAATAAACGATTCAAATCTCCTCTGTTAAGACGTTCCTATTAATCCTACCATAGCAACCTGTTTGGTAGACTTTAATTCTGTTTCCCTACTTCTTTTCTGACCTGAGACCTGTGGATGTCATGGGCCTTCTTCCCAGGCAGATCTTCCATCACTTTAGTTCCTTCTCTTTGCCATCCTGAGCAAATACACCACACAGTTGTAGGCAGCATAACCTGTTTAGTTTCCAGTGTTTTCAGATGTTGCTCAGCATTTCTGGACTATTTGAGTCTTCAACTATAGTGAGTTCCATAGAACTCAAAGCTCATTATTTTCAAGGAAACATTTTTCTTGAAGTGTCTAATGGATATAGGAAACACAGGGATAGTCTTTACATTATAAACCTTAGTACCGAGAGAAGCTGGATGGCAGACACCTGCCACCTCACCACACCATAGGAAGTCCATGGACAAATTGCTCCAGCCCACCCAGTAGAGGCCGGAGCCATAAGTTGTTTCTTGTTCTGAGTCTACCTGTGTGTGTAACTGCAAAAAGATGAGTGCAGTTGTTTTGGCTTGGCTGGATTGAGAATAGAATTGCACTTAATAGGAAATCTCTTTCCATATAACTTCCAATATAACTTCATTTTCTTGCTGTCATATCAAATATGAGCTGACTTATAAGTTCATTCAACAAATAAGAGTGGTCCACCCAAGAAAGGCTGTGCGTTATTTGACGTATGGAAGGCAGATGACTAAAACTCAAGTTTCTTCCCTCGTAGTACAATGGTATGAGCTCCATAAACCGGAAGGCATGTGGTGGGGAGTGAGGGCTGGTTAAGGATTTCCAGAGGAGAAAGTGGTTGAAATGGGATACATAACATTTATCTGGCCTTAGCAAAGGGATCCTAGTCAGAGAGAGCAGCATGAGCAAAGAAAGATTCTAGAAAATGGGAGTAGCTCCATCTAGCTACTGCTTAGTGGCACATAGGCCCAGTTATGGAAGGTCTCTGGGCCTCCAGTGCCCAACCCTGGTGTTCAGGTGCTTGAGGTCTCTAAAATTCCTGGCAGAGAGAGACTGGTTTTTGTTCACACAGCTTTATCAAAGCTGTCTATGATTACAAAATAAATTGATAGTGCCTCTATCAGTGGGTAATGTAATGGGAGGAGATTGCATAACTTCCCTGGGAGTGGGGATTTCACTGTCCATTTGACTCACCAAAAGTCCTGACCTTTCCTATACACACTGACGTGCTGTTTTGTTCCCTGGGTAGAGATGAAATCTGGTTGGGCCACTTTGGGCTGACTTCCTCTGGGCCCTTGGAGGAATTATCTGGCGGGTGCTTTGTTATTTGGGCCTCCCTGGGGTATGTGCCCAGCTGGGAATGGTGGAGGTGATGGTGATGTGTGGTCAAGGTGTGGGTCCTGTGTGCAAGCATGTATGTTGGGAGAGGTGTCTTAGGTCCTTTGCTCAGGGTCCCTCTGCCGTTTTGGCTGGGGTTCTTCCTGGGCTGGCACAGAAGGTGGCTAGTTGCCCTGCAGGTTTCTTATCATAGCCCTTAGCCTCCTGCCCAGGCAACTGGGCCTGGCTATGTTCTTTGGAGCTGTTACAGTCTGATTTTGTTTCAAAGGTCTTTCACCCAGTGCCCAGAACACCCAGTATTCTGATCTACATGGCCCAATTCAGGAGTTTGGATTTGGGCCATGACATTGGGCAACTCTTTTCCCCGGGCCTCCCTTACTGGCCACATGTTCCCATGTTATTTTTGTCCTGTGAGTAGCAGGAAATATCAAGTTTTGAAAATGATACAGTCCATTGTTTTAGAGTGACCCTTCTAGTATGAGGGATGGGTTATACGGGGCAATAGACAATAGAAGATTAGAACTATTGAGGTTGGTAGTTGTATCAGGGCAGAGTTGAATAGATGGGAATAGTGGGTTTGAAGGAACAGGAAAAGCTTTAAGATGAGGCTTGGATTCTAGCTTGGACAATCAGGTAGCTACTAATAGGGAGTACAGAAAGGCACGTTTTTAGGGGGCTATTTTGATTTTAGAGAAATTGAGTTGGGATCCCTGTGTGATATCCAGAAAGAATTAGTAGGTAGGCAGATTAAAATAGGGGCTTGCAACCAAGGAGAGAGGTTGTTGTCTTCATCATGTAGGTGAATGGTATTTACTTATCCTTCAACACACCTGAGTAATAAAACTCACTTCTGCAATTGGAAGTGACTCACTGTGTTACTTACTCTGAAACGTGGAATCACAGGGGTTAAATTGGAATACAGAGGAAGACCAAGTATAGTTTGAAAGTATCCCATGAGAATTGCTACCCTTCTCACTAGCCTTTGTTACAAAAGAGTCAGTAGGTCTATTCCACCCTCAAGAGATGATTTGGCCTTCCTAGAGATTGTTTCCACAGTCAGATTGCTATTCCTGAGTAGCATATGTAACTCAGCTGTGTCTTTTCAGTGTACACTAATCCAAATTCTGTGGCCTT